TGTCTGTCCCTTTTTTGTTATAGAAGTGTTCTCCTAACTTCAGAATATATTTTTCTTGCCGAATTGTGTCCGTTATGTTGTCTTGATTCATGCCATTTACTAGGCCCCAGACTTTGTCATTGATCTCCTTTGGGACAGGCTGTCCAGCAGCACAAAGTGACTGCACTGTGGTTCTGCCTGGCTTCATGCTTTTCTTTGCCAATTTGCATTTTTTCATGTGCCGCCACAACACTTTCCTTTTGAGTAATGCCTCACAGTATGTGCAGTGCAAATAGTCTTTTACATTCACTGGTTCAGTGCTTTGTTGAGAGGGAACCATCACCCCTTTACCCTCCTCCAGGACCTCAAAGTTGTGGCGACGATTGCCTTTATTTCGAATTAGAGTTATCTGCAGCTTTCTCTCCACTGATCCTTTTGGATAACTGAATGTTCGTGCTACCTCCTCCAAGTTGCTGTGTTTCTTATCCAAGTGCCGTGCAATTTTGGCATATGGTTTAAAACAGTACAGACAGTTCTGCCTCATATCGTAGCTCCGACCATCATTGTTTTTCTTTTTTAGCCTCAAGACTTTTACATCCGTGTCACTGGAGGATTCGGATAACTCACAATCTGCCATGGATTGGGAAGAGGAAGATGTGCTCTGTCTGCATTTCACAGGCTTCACACAACCTTTCTTCAAGCGTCGAACATCCGAGTTTGATGAACTGTAATTTGTTGGAGACTTGAGCAGTTTGAGTTCTTTCTCAAATACTTCTGATTCTGGTGTAGAACTAGGCACATACTCATCCTCACTTATTTCACTGCTTGTCATTGATTTATATTCAGAGATCCCAAGCATTTTCTTTGTAAGCTAGAAAAGTCAAAGTCAGATGGGACTCAATTAGTAAGTTTTTAAATACTTCCCACTTAAATTTTCCAATTACGCCTTTCCCATCAACAATAATATAGTTCGTAATTTTGTCATCACAACTGATTTCAAAATACACACTGGTTTGTCTGCAAACTTACAAAGACACTCTCAGTTCTCTTCAGTGGAGGAACATCTGGGTATGAAGGGCACTGGTCCATTTCTTGAAAGAGTTACCAAAAACATAGTCTCAAATACAATTTCCAATTACAGAATAATCCATTTTTACTTTGTGTTAAAATAGATCTACAGCTTATAAATACAATAACAACTATTAATAAAAATTGAGCTTTCACTGTTACAAAGAAAAATAAAGTATAATAGGTAAGACACGGAGAACCAGCTGTGTAACAACCAAAAAGTTTAATATATACAGTGGGTCATGAAAGTATTCAGACCCTCAATTTTTTGTTGTTGAAGCTTTGTGTCAAAGTTAAAAAAAAAAAAAGTTTCCTCATGAATCACCACTCAGTACCTCGCGAGGACAACCCAAACCCAGAATTTTAGATTTTATTTGCAAATTAATTAAAAAAGAAAATCTAAAATATCACATGAACATAAGCATTCACATAATTTCTGATCAATATCAAATGAATTTCACTAATAAAACATGTTTAACTATCCAACCGGTTGCGCTACTACATTTTTTTAACTTGCTAGCTCCAGCAGTAAAAAAGAAACCTAAAAAAGTAAGCGTACAGCCCTGATTAGTGTTCACAACCAAATACGTTTTCTCTCACTTTCTCTCTCCCCCAATTTGAGTAACCTGCTTTTAACCTGCTAATTTGAAGCTGCTTGCATCTGTCGCATGACTCTTTATGTGCAACATCCCCTGCACTTACCTCCTCTGGCTCGTCTCTCTCCTCTCCCTCCTCCTGATCTTCTAACTTTTCAGGGAGGGTTTTGTCCTGCAAATGAGGTCAGTACATGCAAAATACCAGTCAGTCCTGACATAATTAAGCATACATGCCTGAAAAATGTCTCATGCTCAGACTTAAGGTTAGCCATAATATGTTGGCCATCAAATGTAATTGACAGGCCAATGAAAATATCAACACACACACACTTCTTTCAACATCAAACTTCCAGGGGCGAATGATTCTGAATGACTTTTAACGTAATTTCGGCCGTCATTTTGCCGATGGCGGACCGCGATCGGTTCGCGTACACTCGCGCACGTGCCTCGGGACAAGTGGGGGTGTGCACTCAGGTGTGTAGGACACAGTCTTTGTGTTCAGCGAGCCTCCGAAGTCCGAGGGAATGCGGAAGTAGAGAGAGAACTCTGCGTGTGTGTGCTAGCAAAGCATTGTGCCGTATAGCTAGCTGTCAAGCATCGTAACGGAGGCGGGGGAACAGACCAGTCTGATCAAATGCAATGACACAGCTCTGACACACTTGCTTAGTGTGCTACTAGGCACGTGCGTGTAATCACAGACTATCAATGGGGTCAATACATAAAAACCGGGGTCCATATGAAGCTCCACTGCTGTGACTGAGCTCCAAACTCATCTCCATAGCAACGACACTCTGGCTCAACAGCTGTCAATCATTAGGTCTGACTCTGAGTGTCTGCTCTGTGTCAACTGACAACTTCACCAAAAGATTACCCCCAAACTACTGCCCGTTGTTAAAAAACTAAATGACCTGGCTCTTTTTTTTTTTAAATGTGAGTGCCACAGGGGATTAAAGGATCTGTCAGTCTATTTTATTTTCGGCTGCGGCAACCGCTTATTTTTTTATGGCAATTTCAAAATGAGGGCCGTTTTGCCTCTGGTGAAAAATGTTTCTCCTTTCTTCCATTAAAATCCTATTGGAGAGGGTCATGAGTGTCTGGACTCTGGGCCCAATTGCCGGAAAACCGTAAGGCCGAGGTCCAAAGCGGACACATCGGGTGAAAGAGGACGCCCGCGGCTACGTTTTGAGGCCATTTTGGCGCCGCTCGGCCCCACGGTTTGGTCGCGAGAGGCCACAGTTTGACTTTTTTTCGGTGAACTGTAGTGGATTAATATCTCACAATGAATATATTATCACAATTGATTAGTAGTGCGTGCTTTAACATATAAGTAGATTAACATATATCTAAGAGAGAAGTAGACTAACATGTATCTGATGTGTGGAAGTGAAAGAAACCATGGTCCAGTGGTCAAAACATACTAAATGCTTTTAAGTGCATGGAAACTGCAGACAGAACACACTAAAGGGCTAAGTAAACATGTATCATATGGGGTTTGAGGCAAACCCACATGTATCTGTGGGCTGAGAAAACATATAACACATGGGATCAAGGCTAACCCAAATGTATCACCTAGAAACCATGGGCAGTTACTAAGAGAGAAAAGTATGGAACATACACTACCTCAGAAACTATGAGCAGTTACCAAGAAAATGAAGTATGGAACAAACATTACCTCAGAAACTATGAGTAGTTACCAAGAAAGAGAGGTATGGGACATATGGGGCAGAGATGCCCATTTTTAAAAAGGGAACTCTAGGGGATTATCCACCGGTAGAAAGGTAAATATTGGTTATACCGGTGGAAATTGTACCTGAAAATACGTCATAACAGGAGGGGCTCGGGGAGGAGCCCCAAAGATCCAGGGAAGGTATATAAGCAGAACACTTTTCCCAAGAGAGTAGGTGTTAGCCCGGCTAACAGCTCACGTGGTTGACTTGTATTTGCTGCAATAAACCACTCTGGACCGTGACCCAGCTGCCTCTGCTTCTTTTTGACCACTCTTTGAGATTTTTCAACTGCTTCTTCAAGAACTTAGCATTTTTGAAAGACTTGGAATAATTCACCACGTCGTTGGGAGGACATCCACGACAGAACGTCCACACCGGGCTCTCAGAGGCCTTAACGAGCTGAGCTAGAGTGCGGGCCAGGATCTCTGATTTTCTGAATTTCACTAAAACGTCAACAGCGATTTCGGGCAAACGGTGCGAGATCTGGCCTCGTGGCTCCGATATGGCGGAGGCCCGTCTTTCGTGTCCCGTTCAATGTTCGAACGAGGTCTCTCGGACGTCGTGGGTTGACGGGCCTCATTTCTCTGCTTTTTTTTGGGCCCGTTTGTCGGCGGCCCCAATGCATTCCTATGGGAAAACGCTCGCCACTTTTTCGCCGTTTACTCGGAAACGCCCGCTCCTTTGAGAAAGTTTTTAACAAGCACGCATGGCTAGGTGGGTCCGAATGTTTTGTTGACTATTTTCACAATTTCAGTTGATGTAGCTGGTGAGATTCATATAGTTGCACACCTTTCCACTTGTTAATTGTTTGATGTGTTGTTTTTTTACACTATCCCACCCCTTCTGAAACCCAAGCAAACTGAGACTCCAATACTTTTAGAACTTTTATTATTCATTTAAAAGGCAATGCATGAAAACACAAGTAAAGAAGATCTGTTTAGTTTAAAACTCGCTCACCACGACAAGGTACAAATCTACGAGCGAGAACACGAGACAAGACGAGAGACAAACATTTACTACCATTTGCAAACATTTCGTTAAACATGGAGCTGACAGACATAAAAACATTACAAGGACACGCACGCATAAATAACAGTAATAATAATTTAAAACACTTAACAATAAAACACAAACTTGTACTTAAGATACAAATTAACTATTGTTTTGTACTAGACAAAGCCCAATAAAGAACAGCATTATACAAAGACTCGGGTCACCAATCAACAAATAAAGGCTCGAGCCATTCCTGTCTGGTTAAAAATGAAGCAGACAAAGAAAGTTTGCCAAAGAAAACACAAATTTAACAAACAACACGGATGACAAAAACACAGATTATCTGAACATGAACAACCACTAAAGGGTATGTAAACTGATTGTGTTAAATGTGAACTGATTAAGGTTAAAATGGCCTTGATATTGAACATAGGCTAGATCATGTTTGTATGAAAAAAGATACAAAGTGCATCTAAACAGCAACATAAATAATAAAAAAACAAAACACAAGAACATTCTAAAGTAAAACTGTAAAGTGCATTTTTTAAGCTTTATCACTATATACATAAATATATTTTGTTTTTGTACTTGCTGAAACACTTTAAAACACAAACAAGCCTCTTTCCCTCTCCTACAGATGGCACAAGAGAAGTGGCATCACACAGGTAAGTTATTTACAGTTATTTACACAGTTCTCTTTTCCAACTCTGCATCCACCACACTTTTAAAGTGTTCAAAGGTGTCGTACACCACGTTTGTCAAACCCAGAGGTGGTGGATTTCCTAGTGAATGGACAGTAGGAAAATATCTTCTGGGTGCTTTCAGACACTTTGTCCTTGGAAGGTGTGTACCTCTTCCGCTGTCCACCACAATTAGGCACGTGCAAGCCCCACATGGCCGCAGCCATCACAGTCAAAGGTCTCCCTGGCGACGGCATGGATCTTCAAATGCCTCGTCAGGTAGGGGTGGAACGGTTCACAAAATCTTCGGTTCGGTTCACGGTTTCGTGGTCACAGTTTTTGGTTCGGTTTGGTATATGTTGATCTATTATGTCTTGTATCAAATGTCAGACTGCTTTTTTTCTTTCAGTTTTAACCTGACTATACATCACTGTGACAGTCTTAGGTTAAAAGTAGGTGAGATTCTGGCATTGCAAGAGAGGAGACAGTGCTAGTTCCAACATGTGCTTCATTTATTTGGAAAACAATCTTTAACAAAGAAGCATAGGCTCTGTCAAAACTATACTTAGGTCCCTTTGTTTGAAATTAACTCAAGATAAATTGACATGTTTCAATTCCCTGATTATCACAACTCAAAACTCAGTTTGTTCTGCAGTGTTTGAAAAACAATCAAGTAAATAAGGCTGGACTTCTTATCAAACTTAAAGTGCCACTGTGTTATCTAAAATAACAAAATAAATAATCAAGTAAATAATCATCAATATAAAATATAGCATACACCAAACTAACACATACTGCACTGTTTATAAACAACAACCCTCTGCTCATTCTCTTCTTGCAGAAGAACATGAGAATAGGAGTTTGTCACTGCTAGTACAGTAGATTTCGTCTTTTGGCAGAGAATGTGGACAATGTCTCCTGCTGTAGAGAAAACTCTCACTTGGTACGGATGTACCTGGGACTGCAAGGTAACGTCAAGCCAATTGAGCAATATGAGGATACTTGTGCTCGTTCCTTCTCCACCAAGCAAGTGAATTTTCATCCACAGGAATGCATCCTGTGAGCCTGTATGACATGACCTCCTCCTCAGTGATCTGGGACAAAGACTTGGTGGTTCCCTTCTCTGATCTAAAGAGCTCTCCAAAAAGCTCTACGATGACAGATTTTTTCTGAGGAGGAGATGACTGTTTTGATGCCTCTGGCTCTCCAGCTGAGGATGAACTGGCCACCTGGGCTTCTCTGGGTTGAACCTGCATGATAAAATGACAAATAGTGTTTGTTTATATCAATATTTTTAAAAACTACCATACTGTCATAGCAGCACAGACACTAAAACTATATGCTCTACTGTACACTGAGAAAATAAAATAAATGCAAAGGCTCAAGTATTCTGTTTAGTTAAAAAAAGGACAGAAATTATAATTATGCTAAAATACATTAAATTTAGTACTAATTAGAGAATTTAAAAAAAAACAATACCTGCTCTTCAATTTCCATGATCTCTGGTGACAGCACCATAGATTTTCTGAATAGAGTCTTCTTCCAAGTATGGCAGGGACTTAAATCTTGGATCCAGGGCTGTGCTTCTGTGCAGATAGATACAGGGACCCTGATCTTCAGGACTGTCTTTCAAGCTTTTAGTGATGGCTGCCTTAGCATCTTTAATGGTGGGGCTGTCCTCTTCACTGGGTGTCATGGATTTTAGTATCATCTTCTGCAGAGGGATGATCATGGACACTGAAGGGTATGTTTCCGTGCTCATGAGCGTTGTTACATTCTTCAGATGTTTGAAAATCTTGGTTAGATCCTCTGCCAGTTTTGCCTCACTGTCAGTCAAAGTCTTTGACATTTTTCTTAACATCCTTGTCCATCAGAGCAGAATATATGGAAGCCTGCTGCTCCAAATAACGCTCCAGCATGTCACATGTTGTGTTCCAACGGGTTGGGACATCATGTATTAGTTTGTGAACTGACAATTGCAGCATCTCCTGTTTGGTTTTAACGGCTTGGGTGGCTGTTGTGCTCCGACGGAAAAATGTCACCACTTTCCTCATCTTCCCTAGGAGCCGGGATACCTGACTTATTGAGACTGCATTCTTGGCTGCAAGATTAACAGTATGTGCAAAGCAGCCAATTTGTGGCCCCAGTCCAGCTGTTGCATTTACTGCATCCACCATATTTTTTGCATTGTCTGTAGTAAAAGGGATTTTGCTGCTGCTCCTGTGCAACTTCCATTCTGTCACTGCTTTCTGTCAGTGCTTCAGAGAGATGCTCGCTAGTATGACTCTCAGAATGGGAGATGAAAAGCTCAGTTTTACAGACACGCCCCCTTTATGAGGTAATGTAATGGACAATCACAGTCAGGAAACTTTCAGTAGCCCTGGAGGTCCATCCATCTCTAGTTGGCACTACAGAGGCTGTGTCAGACAACTCTTTAACAATCCTTTGTCGGGTCTCTTCATAAAGTGCGGGAATTACCGTGTCGCTGAAGTGTTTACGGGAGGGGATTTTATATCGTGGCTCCAGTGCTTTAATCATAGAACGGAATCCCGCACCCTCCACTACGGAATAAGGCTGCATATCTTTGGCGATGAAATATCCCACTCCTCGAGTTAGGCATTTCGCCCTTTCTGACTCGTCACCGTATGTCTGTTTAAAAGCTGCGGGGAGTTGAAGTTGTCCTGTCGACTCTTTCCCTCTCCTCCTTGCGCTGCCAACTGTCTCACTGGGATGATGTCTCCACAGGTGAGCTGACATGTTGTTTACGCTAACAGCAACACGACCAACAGGTGTTGCACAATGCTTGCAAACTGTTGCACTTTTATCAACAACTTTTTTACCGCCATCATCGTAGGTCACTCTTAATGCAAAGTGATCCCAACTCCTGTTCTTTCCCACTCGTCATACCCACACAATTCTCCACATAAACTGATTTTTATCTGCTACACCTGGCTACGCTGTTTCGCTTCTTCTTGTTTATTACTGGTGGTTGGCCACCTTTTGCTCTGGAGTATACACGCTTCGCCTATTAGAAAAAGGAGCAGCGCATGAACAAAAAGTAACACGTGAATTGAACCGAGACAGTCGAACCGAACGGTTTGGACGGTTTTCATAAACCATTCCATCCCTATCGTCAGGTTGGACTTTTCAGTAAAAGTCTTGTCGCACACGCTGCACCGATGTCTATGCGTCTCCATGTTTCATCTGGTACAGTAAAACATGAATAAATGAGTCAAACTAAAAGCGGATGAGGGCTAAAATACATTTTTTAGAGACCCTGCAGCTCTCGTAAAAGTAGTTTACGGCCATTCATTCATCATGCAAATAGCGGTTGACATGTTTACACTTCTAAAGCATAATTTACACATCGAATTTCAACTCAACACTGTTGTAACATCATTTCTATGGTCTCAAGAAGTGAGCTAGAGTGTCTGATCTCGTTATTAAAGTATTTACAGAGATCGTTAGGTCATTACAGTGGCGATTGGTACCTCATTCATTTTCAATGCATTTAGCATGCTAATCGCGGTTGACATTCTAACGGATCTAAAGCATATTTCAGATTTACATTTCGAATCCACACAGTGGTAATACATTCTTTAAGGTCTTAACATGCGTTTAAAATGCGATCAGCCTATTGATTTTACATATCAGAAAGAAGCGTTGTTAGCTTAGCCAATTGTTGACAGAAAATGAGTCAGTACGGCATTAACGAGATTGTGATGTAAAACCTCAGGCAAATTATTAAAAAATATATAGAGTTTCAGTCATTATTTTGCACATAATTACGTCAAACATACCTAAAAGTAAAAAAAAATTGGTCCGATCTGTCATAACGCCTAACACAGCTCAGTTTCGAATGACGTTTCCCGATCCTCGCTCAATGATTTGTCTGTTGAGCGCTCAGCTCCACTCAGCATTGCTCAACCATTGGACGGCTGCCGATCTCTTATGTACTTGGAGGAGCATTTGCCTGGGAATACCAGGTGCTGTAAGCTTTTCCTCATTCTTTGGAGTTTAATTGAATTTAAGTCTCCCCTTAATTTGCTTTGGATCATCAGTTTCTTATACATAAAAAGCAAGTAATGAGCAGTCCACTGCTTTGGGTCTAGCATCTCATTTTTGAGCCAGCAGCCCATTTTGACAGTGTGTACTCAGCTGAAGTCTGCCTGGCCAAGGCCTTATTTATACCTTACGGCCACACCAGCCTAGTGCATCGAATTTCCCAGAGACCCTAAACGAATCGTGCCATCCAAATTTTTGCTAGTACTGTGAGTGAGATTAGCTCTTGCTCAGAGTGCATGATTTCTTTCTTTCTTTCTTTTTTTGAAGGAAATCAAAGAAATCATTTATCTTTTGGTGGATTATATCCCTCCCAATCAGCCTGGTCTGTAGGGAGGCGCTTTTTGTTATATTTTTCGTTTAAGGATGGATAACGCGGTACAGACTATGGACTCTGAACAGGAAAAAGAAAACAGACCCAAGGATGTGGTAAGAAAAATACCTGGAATAAAGGTAGGAGACCTAAAATATGAAAAAGACCTAACAATGGTCATAGATGTAGAAGGAAAGGAAAACATTTCAATTGTGCAATTATTAAAGAACATCAGGCTCCTGTGTGGAGGACTAGTTGGGTGTCGGCCTATAGGCCCAAAATCGTTTGAGATAACTTTAAGCAATGAAGCAGCAAGAGATAGACTAATGGATGGATTTAAAATGGGGGAAGTGGTGATTACGGGTAGAAAATGAGTGAATGACGAATTGGTGGTGTCTTTTCTAAATTTATATCACAGATGAGGAAATCTTGGAAAAGATCCATGGCTGGGGCGTGGAAGCAGTGTCGACGATCAATAGAAGAATGAGGCCAGAGACGCAAATAGCGGATGGAACGAGATTTCCGGATGCTGTGCAGTCTCTCCCATACTCTGCCAAATTTAATACAGCCACAGGATATCAAGTTTTCCGTGTGATACATGATAGACAAATAAAATCTGGGCACTCTCTGACGATGTGTCCTGGCTGCAAACATATTCTGTAAACTTTAACTGCCACAAATATGGGGGACATGGGCACTATGCCAGGGAATGTGTTGAGCAGGGAGGAAGATGTGCAATCTGCTGCAATCCAAAAAATAAATGTGTGTGCGCGACTGAGAGTGCAAGTGAGGAGAGCGAGCAACATTCCGACATGGAGGAATCCATTGATGAGCTGGGGGAGGTGGAGCCTAAAACTCCAGGATTGGAGGATGCTAGCCTGAAAGCTGGTATAGCGCAGAATGCGCCAGATCGGGTTCCGGAGGTAGGGAGGGCTCGAAAAATGGGTCCAACCCTCGATCCGGCGGGGAGTGGTCGAGAAATGGGCACTGCCCCGGAGGCTGAAGACCAGGCTGAAGAGCTGGCACAGGGAGGGGCTCAGGCTCAGAAAAAGGCAATTACTGCAAAATACAGTGAGGTAATTAAATCAATGGAGGCAGTGACTGTGACCCCAGGATCAGTCAATGACAACCCCCCCCCCCCCACTGTTGGGAAAGTGACAGCAGGTGAGCCAGGAAGTGAGCCCCTCTCAGGAAAGAGTACTTTCTTCTCGCCAGAGAATGCGGCCATGAACCCGCTAAGCTCAGATTCTGATATGGAATGTCAGCTCGTATAAAGAGAAAAAGACTGATCTTTTTGGCTGATTTTCCCCATACTCAAAGGAAAACAAAAGCCAAGAAATTAAGCTAGGAGCAGATTGCACATTTTGCTAAAATGTTCGACCTTCTCTCGCTCAATATAGCGAGTTTGAGGAGCAATAAAAAAATTGAAGAATTTGGAGTTGCCCCCGGTGAGAGGCGCCGAGCAGGAGTGGGCATACTTATTGCCCCCCATCTCGGTGCCTGTACGTTGGGGTTTACCCCAGTGAATGAGAGGGTAGCATCCCTTCGCCTTCGGGTGGGGGGACGGGTCCTGACTGTCGTTTGTGCCTATGCGCCTAGCGGCGGCACAGAGTACCCACCCTTTTTAGAGTCCTTAGAGGGGGTACTGGAGGGTGCCCCCCCTGGGGACTCCCTCGTTTTGCTGGGGGACTTCAACGCTCACGTGGGCAATGACAGTGAGACCTGGAGGGGCGTGGTTGGGAGGAATGGCCCCCCCAGCTTGAACCCGAGTGGTGTTCTGTTTTTGGACTTCTGTGCTCGGCATGGATTGTCCATAACGAACACCATGTTCAAACATAAGAGTGTCCATATGTGCACTTGGCACCAGGACACTCTAGGCCGCAGCTCAACGATCGACTTTGTTGTCGTTTCAGCTGATCTGCGGCCGCATGTTTTGGACACTCAGGTCAAGAGGGGGGCGGAGCTTTCCACTGACCACTACCTGGTGGTGAGTTGGCTCCGATGGTGGGGGAGGATGCCGGTGAGACCCGGGAGGCCCAAACGTGTTGTGAGGGTCTGCTGGGAGCGTCTGGCGGAGTCCCCTGTTAGGCGGAGCTTTAACTCCCACCTCCGGGAGAGCTTCGAGCACGTTCCGGGGGAGGCGGGGGACATTGAGTCCGAGTGGGCCATGTTCCGCGCTTGCATCAATGACGCGGCTTCCCGGAGCTGCGGTCGCAGGGCTGTCGGTGCCTGTCGTGGCGGCAACCCTCGAACCCGCTGGTGGACACCAGCGGTGAGGGATGCCGTCAGGCTGAAGAAGGAGTCCTATCGGGCCTTTTTGGCCTGTGGGACTCCGGAGGCAGCCGATGGGTATCGGCAGTCCAAGCGACGTGCGGCTCGGGTGGTCGCCGAGGGAAAAACCCGGGCGTGGGAGGAGTTTGGGGAGGCAATGGAAAAAGACTTCCGTACGGCCTCGAGGCGATTCTGGTCCACCATCCGGCGTCTTAGTGGGGGGAAGCAGTGCCCCACCAACACTGTTTACAGTGGGGGTGGTGTGCTGTTGACCTCAACTCGTGACGTTGTGGGTCGGTGGGCGGAGTACTTCGAGGACCTCCTCAATCCTACTGGCGCGTCCTCCATTGGAGGGGCAGAGCCTGGGGATCCGGAGCTGGATCAATCTACGTTCCCACCCTCGTCTATGGCCACGAACTTTGGGTAGTGACCGAAACGAGATCGCGGATACAAGCGGCGGAAATGAGTTTCCTCCGCAGGGTGGCTGGGCTCTCCCTTAGAGATAGGGTGAGAAGCTCGGCCATCCGGGAGGGGCTCGGAGTAGAGCCGCTGCTCCTCCACGTGGAGAGGAGCCAGCTGAGGTGGCTCGGGCATCTGTTTAGGATGCCTCCTGGTCGCCTCCCTGGGGAGGTGTTCCGGGCTCGTCCCACCGGGAGAAGGCCCAGAGGAAGACCCAGGACCCGCTGGAGGGACTATGTGTCCCGGGTGGCCTGGGAACGCCTCGGGATCCCCCCGGAGGAGCTGGCTGAAGTGGCCGGGGAGAGGGAAGTCTGGGTTTCCCTGCTCCGGCTGCTGCCCCCGCGACCCGACCCCGGATAAGCGGAGGACAATGGATGGATGGATGGATGGAATAATGAACTGCTATGCACCCAATGTTGAATCAGAAAGGAGAAAATATTTTGAGAAATTAATTAAATTCATAAATAATAATACTCTTCTTGTGGGAGATTTATATGTGGCACTCTCGCGACAGGATGTCTCGGCTGAAAATATATATAGAACTGACTTGAGTAGGACAGCTTTAATTGATATGAATAAAAATAATTTAACTGATAGCTGTAGAATATTTAATAAAAGCAAACAGTTTTCTCAAGAAGATGCATAGTGGAGGGTATTCTAGAACAAAGTAGAATAGATTTGTGTTTAGTTAAAGGCATAGTTGAACACATAAGCAAATAGATTACAAAAACACACTTTAGCGATCATGATTGCATTATAATACATTTAGAAACAACCATTAATAAAAACAAAACCCTCTGGTGCTTTAATAGTTGACACGGGCTATATAAAATTAATAGACTATTTAATATTGTCATCAGAAATAAAAAGTAAATTATCCAAAGAAGAAACAGGAACGACAGACGGCAATATTTCCATAACAGAAATAAAAGAAACTATATTGCAGTTATCCAACAATAAAAGTCCAGGAGAAGATGGACTGACGTCAGAATTCTATAAAATGTTTAGTGATAATTCAATTAGGATATTGATGATAACAAAGTAGATATACCAGTATAATTTAATCGAAGTATAGTCAAATCAATATATAAAGATAAAGGAGACAAAAATAATCTTGACAACTATAAACCTATAAGCTTATTAAACACAGACTACAAGATATTCACAAAGATACTACCAAACATATCATGCCATCTATCATAAACAATAATCAAACCTATAGCGTACCGGGAAGATCAATTTTTGACACGATTTTAACAGCAAAAGAAACTCTACAAAACCTGCATATACAAAATGGCTATTTCTTTAATCTAGATTTCGAGAAGGCCTTTGACAGAGTCGAGCATGGTATGGGGGATTTAAAAAACTTTTGGATTTGAAACCAGGTTCATTGGCTGGGTGCAGACCCTCTATGAAAGAGCAACGAGCAGGATCAGAGTGAACGACACTCCGACACAGCCGGACAGAGTCGGTTAGAGGCAGGGCTGTCCTCTCTCCTCCCTGTTGTTCACACTCGCTGTAGAGCCTTTAGCCATTCTAATAGATAACAGCCGAGGCGCTCTCACCCTGGGGGGAAGCAGTTAAGGCTCCTCCAGTACGCCGATGACACCTCCCTGTTTGCGGCGGACGAGGAGAGCCTTTATCAATCTCTACGATAGGTTGATATCTTCTGTCAGGCCACTGGAGGACGCTTTAACCTCGCTAAGTCCACTCTGCTGTGCTGCGGGACAGCGGCCTCTCCGTCGCAGCTCCCCACAGTTCAGACTATTGATGGACCATTTAGATTCCTGGGAGTCTATCTGGGGGAGGACGAAAATCATCCGGAGGAGAGGTCGTGGGGCACAGTCACAGAAAAAGTGAAAACAACTTTCAACCTTTGGAGGATGAGAGGCCTGGGGCATAGAGGAAGAGCGGTTGTAGCCAACTCCCTAGCACTGACACTGGTGTACCACACCCTGCACATCCATGTCTTGCCCCGGAGCGTACTGACCGCTCTGAACAACTCAATAGCAGAATTTATATGGAGAGGAAAGAGAGTCATGGTGGCACTGAAAAAATTAATTTTTAGATTCTGTTAAAGTTTCATGTTTATCCTGTGTTTTTCCCCTTTTCTTTTATTTAATTTATACATAAATCCTGTTGTAACATTCTCTAGCTGTACGCCAACAACCAACATTCACAACACTTTTTTACGACACTATACCATCACGTGAAGAGGAAACTGGCATGTTTACGTTAGAGTCAAATGGCCAATTACAATTCGGTGCTGCGAAGACCAGTTTTGCATTGTACGGGGAGGAGCCTCACCCAAGAAGATAAATGTACATGATTGACGTCTAATCGGCGCTCTTTGGTGGGATCACCTCGTTGAGACAACATTCCCCAGAGAGTCCAGCGCTGTGATATCCTACTTGTGGCCGGAAAAAATTCCATTCATTGTTAAAGACCTTTCCTGTTTGTTTTTCAAGCCTCCATAAGGATCGGGTGGAATTAGGATTTTTACTAACAATTGGTGCCGTGACCCGGGGCGGCTGTCTGTGAAAAGGTTCCGTTGAGAGACCGCGGAGAGGAGGAAAATCTTTATGGACAATTTATGGCGACCAAAATAAAAGGTAAGCAGAGCCTCTTGATATTGAAAGTCTGCACATTGGCCACACTAAAAGAAAATTGGCGATCAGAGAACAATCTAGTACAGACAAAAATATAGCAACGTTAGTTTTACCTTTAAATAACGTTGGTTAACTTTATTTTTTTAATTTTGAATGGCCATAAGTAAAATATCTATTAATTTGTTTAGTAAGACTCCTGATGCATGCAGTAGAGCAACGAATATTTATAAAACAAAAGTAAAAAATACAAAATTTAAGAAAATAAAAATGAAAATGAGATTTTCATGCACAATGAAATTAAATTTCTAGCATGCAAAATTGCTGTAGAATAGGGGACTCCTGATTAAATTCAGTTGAGTGTAGATTTTAGGGGACTCCCGAATTCCGTTCGGTTGAGATTTTTTCTGATCATTTGGTAGAAAAGCATGAGGCTCCCAATAGTTCAGAAAAATAAAATAAAAATAAAAAGAGGAGATTTTGTTTTGCAAAAACAAATCGATATAGTTGAATAAGGCCTCTGAATTTGTTTTATTCCTATAAATTATTTTGTTATTTTGGGTGTGTTTGAATGTGGGTGGCTTTTCCACTTGATGAGAAATTTTACCGTGTTCTTGCCAGTGTATTGAGTAAGCAATAGGCTGATTCAAGAATTCCTGGCCCAACACAGATCTCAAGTGGGTTGTGTATTCTGAGGTTTGGAATAGATAGAACGGGGATATTTTAGTTAAGGTGCTATTAGAAGCTGGTGAATTAAAACAAATTGAGAAATCTGGGTGAACCCTCAAGTTTGCAGCGCTTACAGTATTAGGCTGTAAGGTGGGGTGCACCACTGAAGTGAAAGCTCTGTTGGGGGCTGCAAATCCATAGTTGCCCCACCCCCCCTTAACGCCATTGACACCTGGTCACGCTTCAGAGCATAGAAAGTCTGACCTTGCTGTGAATTCTCCACCCATCATGGTGCCTCTTGTTGTCATTGAAAAAGGCTTATTAAACACAAAAACATTTGAAGGACCAACAGGCCAGGCTGAGAGTTTCCTGGCCACAGCAGGAGAGCGAAGCAAAAATCCATTTAATTTTGATTCGAATGCCTCACATATAGAAAGTGAACTGGGGAACCTTATTACAAATTGCCTCTCTGATCAACTATTCACAGATCAACTCTTCTGTGTGTTCACCACACAGAGACAGGCCCACCACAGATCTGTTACAAGGTTTAAATTCAAACCAAATAAATAGGAAAAATTCTGATCAGAGTAACATTCATTTTTGTTCAGATAAACGCAGACCTTGTCATCAAATGCCTCTTGTGTCTGCTAACACAGCCGGAGGTAATTTTTCCACAACATACAACCCCTTTTCACTCCAAGATACAGCTATGATAAAGTCTAAACTCCCTGATATCAATAATGGTGGCACTACCTGGATCAAATCTTTTTTAGAAGTTTGTGCTGGCGTCGTTCCTGCATTGGGGGATTTTAGGCGGATTTTTGTTGCTTGTACTTCTTTGGGCATGCTTACAGAATTAGAACAACAGTGTTGGACGGATGTAGAATCAGATAATGTACCTTTACATGAAACAGTGCATTTACTGTGGCCTGCAATTAGAGAGAAGTTCCCAGTACAAATTAAATCAACAGAGTTCTGTCATATTCCACCTAAATTTGGCGAAAGAGGTGCTGCTTATTTGTTACGAGTGAGAATTATGGCAAGACAGAACTGGAGAAGATCCAACTGTTCATGAAACGATGGAGATTCTCTTTAGAGGTGCTGTCGAGTCCTTGTTTCAGCCAAACCACATTCCTCAATGCTTCCTGAATAGGCTATCTAGTGCATCTTATAGAGTTTGGTCTGCTCATGTTACCCAGTACATAGATAATCAATTTGAAATGCATTCAAGTCTCATCAAAGCACAATTGCAAGATATGAGACATCAAGTCAATTTTGAGAGAAAATTATTCAAACAAATGGCTGGTTTACCAGCTCAGCAACTCTCTTTGCCCTAAAACCTACCAGTAATGTCTGATAATAACTTGCAGGGCCACATCTCAAATCCACATCGTCTACCTTCTGTGGGGCCTCCTCAACCCCCGTTGCAGAACCAGTTTAGAACAAAAAACAGAGGTAGATGACAAAGAAGGCCTAATTACAAATTCAAACCAACACCTGAAAACAGTGATGTGTGTTACTGCTGTGGAGGAAGAGGCCACTGGGCCAGACAGTGCCAGGTCCATTGTTCTCAGACTCATGGAGGTGTTCCATCATACGAATTTCACGCCTATCCACCTCAGCAGGGATCCTCTGATTCAGCTCAAAGTCAGCAGCCTCAGAACCTGTGGCACCAGGCCCCTGGGGTTTCACAAATGCCGCAATAGGGCTTCCCAGATCTAACAACAGGAAATTCACTGTGTCCTGAAAATTCATACCTTGAGCCTTTAGTTAAATTAACAGTTGATGGCCAAGAATACATGTGTATGATATACACAGGAGCCAGGTATTCCACATTGAACACGCCACTCGCTCCATCTAGGAAAACTGTGCCTGTTGTTGGTTTCTCGGTTCATACAGAAGAGTGGCCACTTTCAAATCCTGTTAGATGTACATGGAATTCTGTTTCATTTGAACATTTATTTTAGCTTTCTCCTTTTTGCCCAGTTAATCTTTTGGCTAGAGATATTTTGTGTGCTTTGAATGTTTGTTGTTGACTCCAGAGTATGTAGACATCACCTTTCCTGATGGTTCTGTTCATAGATGTGCAAACACAAAGCATGCTATTAATCAGATGTCACAGGTGACTGCTAACAAGGAGAACCCCAGCATAGACTCAAAAGCTGAAATTTGGTGGGGCCTCCTTCCTGACTACTTGTCCTCTTCATTACATAACACATTTTCCCTTTGGTTGCCCTGGATCTCAGCAATACTGTTGTATGATGATCCTCCTGACCCACCAAACTGCACATTTAATTATGATATGCATGGTGATGAAAATGATGATGCTTTGTGGGATGGATTCATTCAACAGTGTGCAGAAACTGATGATTTTCCTGTTGTTGAACTACGTGACATTTTCTGTTGGACCAGAAGGAGTAGCTGTTGCTGTGGCTCTGCCATAAAAGTTTGCAAAAGATGTATGCGTTAGGTGAAACATCTGTTCCTCATGTCACATTGAGGGTGGCCTCTGGGGGAGAAGCAAAAAACTTAGGACCAATGATGAAACGCTGTTTGGCTGCTACTGATTGGACTCCTACACAGAATCAGCATTTGATATACTCACATTCTACTCAGACGTACATGATAGTTCATTTATCATATACTGAATTACATCCAGAGAAATGTTATCTCTCCCGCAATCAAAGCGGAGAAAACACTGATCACCCTGACACAAAAACAATGTTGGACAATCTACCTGATTCATTGTGGTTTGAAAATCCCATTGATGTTGGTTTAGTGAATATACCACCTGCCCGTATTCCTCTGAAGCCTAATACGGTTCCCATTTACAAACCGCAATACCCTCTGAAACCTGATCAGATTCAAGGTATTTCTAATACCATTTCACGTTTTAATCAACGTGGAGTATTGAAATGCACTGATTCTCCTTGGAATACGCCCATTAACCCGATTCCTAAACCTGGTAAACCAGATTATCGCATGACACATGATTTGAGACCTGTAAATAAGGTGGTTGTTTCCTCTAACTTGGACACACCAAATCCTTATACCATGTTAAATGCTATTTCACCTGAGCACTGTTTTTTCTCTTGCATTGATCTGGCGAATGCATTCTTTTGTGTCCCTCTGCACCCAGACACACAGAAGCTGTTTGCATTTACATATGAGGGGGTGCAATATACATACACTCGTCTGCCACAGGGGTTCATTGATTCCCCTGCGATTTTCAATCATGTGTTAAAGCAACAGTTGCAGTCTCTGACATTACCTGCTGGAGTGATTTTGCTTCAGTATGTTGAAGACATTTTGTTGGCAGCACCAGATGCTCAATCTATTATGAAAACTACAAAACTGGTTTTGAGCCACTTGGCATCCTGTGGATTTAAAGTCTCAAAATCCAAACTTCAGATAGGCCGACCTAAAGTCACCTTTTTAGTCCGTCTCATCTTTGCTTCTGGTCATACTCTCACCATAGCTCACAAAACGGACATTGTGAATCACTCTAAGCCCATGACTGTGAGAGCAACGATGCAATTTTTGGGTCTGGTTACATACAGCAGAAACTTTGTACCAGATTTTTCAAACTTAGTGGAACCTTTAGGAGCTCTCATTACACAAGCAGGTTACAAGAATTAGAACTCTCCTTTGACCTGGACAACAGAAGCAGACAAAGCTTTCATTTAAATTAAGGCTGCCCTGTCTTC